GAGTTGTTTTTCTCACTTTTAGCTTCTTAGTCTTATTCTCTCAAGGTTTCTGTAATCTTCCTAAATACCACAGAGCCTGGCCACGCCTCAAGGGATGTGGAAGAGACAAATGACCTTTTACCTTTTCTACCTGGAGGAGGAATAAATGTTCTCAGGACTCTTATGGGCTTTTCAGATTCTACTATCTTTCCTAGGTGCCTTGATGGCAAAACTCTGACTGTGACACAGGACTTTACTAACCAGACTCCACACATGAAGATATGAAGGCAGTAAGTTATTACAGTTCAGGGGAAGTTCCTGGGAGATGGGCGTAGTTTGGATACAGCTGGAGGTTAAAACACTCCTTCAGTGGCTGCATTGAAGGTAATCCAACCATTACGATTGCTTGCTCCCTCACATCGCCCCTTCTCTTTGATCAGTTTGTGCCTTCACTTTTACTTTGTTCCATACCCTGAAGTACTACTCTGAAGTTGATATACTTCTTAATCTTCTTTTTTTTTTTAAATCTGCATTACCATCATCTCCCCTTTATTCAGTTCTTCATTCCCTAGCATTTTTATCTTTCCTGTGGTAAATTCCTTACTAAGACAGGAATTAAGCTACTCTTTTAAAAAAATTATTTAAACATTAAATGTAGCACAGATTGTTTAAGTACTACTTATCTCCTCTTATGAAACTGTAGCAGAATCTGACATATATTTTACTTTATAAGAATACTGGAGCAAAACACGGGATGGAAATTGCTAGATAATTTGGTCCTCCTGCCCCATACACCTGATGCATGGCACCTTTGCTTCCTTCTATCAACCAGTGAACAATTTCTCTCCCCCATGCACCCAAGAATAAAATGGAATAGCACATCACAGTCCAAATTCCTGAATGACTTGTGAGAAAAAAGTGATTCCATACTAATAAATCTCCACTCTGTCAGGTTGTCTCACAGCAAATATATGACACACTGTATTTCCTGAAAATGCAAGCATACTATAGAAGAGAAGGAATTTCTTTTGTGTGTGCAGAGTGACAAAAAACAGTTTGCAACTTTAATCTCATACTACACAATGTAAGGACTTTTCAGAAGTAGAATATTGAAAGGAAGATGCTTATTGTTTTTTTTCCTAGTATTTTTATGATTTTCTTTTCTTTTTTTTCTTTAAATTTATTTATTTACATTAATTCACTATATATTATCACAGCAAACAAAATGAGATTTTCCATCTAGAATACACTGTATATTGACTCAATCAAGCACATCAACATACGTGTTATTATCAACAAACAATTTTCCATTTCCTATTTCCTGTATATTTTGTTATTTTTGCCATTCCTGATTCCTTATCTCTCACCATCTGCTGTGCCCCACTCTCCTCCCAAGTTGTTATCTAAATCCCTCTTTCTTTCCTAAGCCCTGTCCATTGTACTATTTTCTTACAGTTACTTCCAACTCATTATCCACCATGAGAATATTCTTAGAGCTCTTACCTAGTCTTATTCTGATCTCTGCACCTTTGCTCTTATAATGAAATTATCTCTGATTTAACTCCTTAAGAGTAATCATATCTAATTTCTAGTTCATCAGCTAATTTCATCATCTAATTTCTAGTTCACATTCTGTATCTCCTTGAATTCTTTGAATAATCAAGTTTTCATAAACTGCTCTTTCATTGAATGCATACTATTTATATATTAATTTTATATAATTTAACAAAAGCATGTTATTAAAAGAGCATAGCAGTAGAAATTGAAAAATTAGGTTGTAATACTGACTAATCCAAAGACATTGGGCCTTAGGAATTTGTTTAACCTTTCTGGGCCATGTCGTGTTTGGTTTTGTTTGCTTTGTTTTGTTCTTATTTTTGTTTTGACTTTTGTATAATAAACTGGCTGCTTCTTTGGTAGAATGAAGTAATAGATGGAGTGTAATAAAATAATGTTTAATAAACAAAACCATAGTGTGTCAGTAAAACACTAAGCTCTGCAAGGCAATCCCATGTGGGAAGGTTTTCAGTTTAACTCTGGAGACAGCTCTGAATACATTGAGTGCCCACAATCAAGGGCTAACTGAGGCTGCAGGTGGATCACAGTATAAAGACCCCATTAGGGGACCAGCAGTTAGCATAATGGCTATGTCACTGGACTCCCACGTAGTCGACCGGTTCACGTCCCAGACCCGGTGGCTTAAAACTCACGCAGGGCGCATGTGCGTGCGTGCCCAAGATTCCGAGAGGAGAATGGAGGAGAAGGGATTGCGGCGTGGCCATCCCCCCTGGGGGGTGGTTTCTCGCTTTCTATCTCTCTGTCTCTCTTTCTCTCTCTGTCTGTCTGGCGAGCGCATGCGCCCTATAGCAAAAACCTCTCAAAAAAAAATTTTAAAAAAGACCCCATTAGGAGATCTTTCTCCCTCAGTCTCTGTCTCTCTTGCTTCTGGAAGAAGTTACTTAATTTTGAAAATGTTTGAGGGACTGGTTCCATGACTTGGAGGTTAAGGCAGTCAGATCCCACATGGTCAACCACAGAGCTCTGTTGGAGTACTGGACTTCATTGCTAGAAGAAGAGGCATGAAGTAATTATGTATATTTTAAAGCATATATTACTTTAGGAAATATAGGTAGAAAACCACTTCTAGTCCACTCATATTTTTTATTAATTAATTTATTTTTTTACTTTTGCTAGAAGGTGAATGTGCTTGCCAAAGAGAGAGCGAGAGGAGAAAACACCCTGGGCCATGGTCATGTTACAATCTTGTCTCTTTCATCTCTCTCCCTCTTTTCAGGACCTTGAGAACACACAGACGCAACCCATCACGTCTCTCAAGCCGCTGGATCCAGGCTATGGGGCTGGCCCTACAATTAATTCTTAAACAAGTTACTTCACCTTACTGGGTTTAATCACTTCATATTTTAGATGGCAGATCTCCTTGTCTTCTCAGGTTATAAGAATAAATGAACGTTCAGAGTTATAAATAACTAGAGGCCACAGACATTCAGGCTCTATCAGTTTATGTTGGGTAATACTACTCAACAATTTGATGAATAACCACTGTGGTCCCTATAGTTACATAATTCTATCCAAAATTCTGTGAAAGTATTCTTCTCTCTATGTTCATGACAAACATATGTGCTGGGACCCTGGTGTTCCTGGTACAAAGTTTTTGTGGATATTTAATCTTGTGTATCTTTTATTCAGTAGTGTCTGCCCCAAATAAACTGCAATTCCTTTATTTCATTCCCATTTTATTTATAGACATATCTTATGTCAGTATTATTGTATTATATTTGCATTCTTGATTATTTTCTTTTAGAATTTATTATACTCATTAAACACTAGCATATAAGTGGGTATAAATCAAATTGTAACTTAGCTTAATGTGCCTTGTATTACTACTGAGTATATACTTAATATACTTTATAGCAGTGGTAATAGAAACCCCTGTGATGCATTAAGTAAAAATAATGAATAAATTAATACTTTATGATTTATATGTAAAATGCATTACATTTGTTAAGTATAGATGTAAAGAAAAAACACTTAGCTTATAAGACAGGCAATATTTACAAAGTTATAACAAATAGGGCTAGTAGATAAGGAAATATGTAGGGCACATTAAAAGTCATGTTAAAGAAATAATATATAGAATATATATCTTAGGACAAATAAAATGTTATTTATGGTTTTAAAAGGTATTTTAAAAAATAAGCCATCAGGAGCCAGCAGTTAGCGTAATGGCTATGTCGCTGGACTCCCACGTAGTCGACCGCGGTTCGCGTCCCGGACCCGGTGGCTTAAAACTCACGCCAGGTGCATGTGCATGCGTGCCCAAGATCCCGAGAGGAGAATGGAGGAGAAAGGATTGCAGCGTGACCATGCCCCCTGGGGATGATTTCTCGCTTTCTGTCTCTATGTCTCTCTCTGTCTGTCTGGCGAGTGCACGTGCCCTATAGCGAAAACCTCTCAAAAATAAATAAATTAATAAATAAGCCATGGGGCCTCAGGTGGCATAGTGGTTAAGGTGCCGTATTCCCATGTGACTGACCATGATTTGAGTCCCAGATCCAGAGGCTTAAAACTCACACCAGGCACATATGCATGTGTGCCCACAATTCTGAGAGAAGAATGGAGGAGAAGAGATTGCAGCATGGCCATCCCTGCCTCTGGATGATTTTTTGCTTTCTGTCTCTCTCTGTCTCTGGTTAGTGCATGTGCCCTATGACAAAAATCTCTCTCTTAAAAATTATTTTTAAAAAGCCATAAATTATAACAATGCAAAATCAGGATGGCAACTGCTATGCCCTAATCTGTCACTTATTAATGGCATCCCTCACAATTTTATTCTGACCCCATATGTTCCCAACTCAAAAAATACAAATCACTCTCATAGGTGTTCAGAAGTCTTACTGGTTAAAGTTGTGGCCATACATCCATGATGTGTGTCTGACAGAAAGTGTGAGTGTTCTCCTCAAGCACCTTTCCTTCGTTGGGTCCCCTTGATCAATTCTGATGCTTTTGACCATACCAGCAGCAGAGAGACAAAGCCTATGACAGTGCATGATGCACGATTCAGACACTGTTGACCTTCCTAGTCTGTTGACCTTCCTAGCCACCTCCACACTATTCTAAGTGTTAACCCGTCTACTCTCGCTAACTTGTCTTCCTGCTTCCCACTGCATATGTTAAATTGACTAAACTAACCATGGTTTGTAACCATTTATGTTTTTTGAACCTTGTTGTTTAAAATCCTTAGGCATAGCTTATTCAGTTATGAAAATGTAGGCTATCGGTGCAACGAAAGTGCTTCCAACACAGCAATTATAAATCACACACATGCACACACACACACGCACACACACACGACCTATATAAGCGTTTTTGAATTAAACTGAATTCAACCTTAATTTTTTCAGCATGCAACAAATATTGTAGTTTGTCGTCACCTCTAAATAAACATGAATTAACTTTATTGTTTGACTTTCTCACAATGTTCTCTTTTAGGTTTAACCATCATGCCGATGTTCAATGGCACCCACTACCAGCCACCCTTCTTCCTTCTTTCAGGGATCCCTGGGCTAGAGGATGCTCATATATGGTTCTCCATCCCACTAAGTATCATGTATGTGATTGCCATCCTGGGAAACAGCATCATCATTCACATAATACGCAAGAATAACAGCCTTCATGAACCTCAATATGTGTTTCTGTCCATGTTGGCAGCCACGGACACAGGCATGTCAGCATCCACATTACCTACTGTACTTAATGTCTTTCTGTTCAACCACAGAGAGATTGAGTTTCATAGCTGCCTGATTCAAATGTTCTTTATCCATACATTCTCTTCCATGGAGTCAGCCATCTTATTGGCTATGGCATTTGACCGCTTTGTGGCCATACGCAACCCACTGCACTACACCATGATCCTGACCTATTCCCGAATTACTCAGATGGGATTGGCCGCGATGGTTCGTGGGGTGGCGCTGATGGCCCCCTTGCCCATCCTTCTCAAACGACTTCCTTTCTGTAAGAATATCATCTTATCCCATTCATTCTGCTTTCATCCTGATGTCATGAAGTTAGCTTGTGGATCTATTCGTGTCAATATTATATATGGGCTGGCTTTGGTTCTCTGCTCCTTTGGAGTTGATTCTGTCTTTATTGTTCTGTCTTATGCATTGATCTTAAAGACAGTCTTGGGCATGGCTTCCCGAGAGGGGCGTCTTAAGGCACTCAACACATGCGTCTCTCATATTCTCACTGTTCTCATTTTCTATGTCCCACTCATTGCCTTAGCTCTTATCCACCGAATAGGCAGGTACCATTCTCCTCTACCCCATGTTACCATGTCTAATATTTTCCTTTTCCTTACACCTGTCCTCAACCCATTGGTTTATAGTGTGAAAACAAAACAGATTAGAAGTGTACTCTGTAGACTATTGGCACTTAAGCTAAGATGACAAAACAGAGTGAAGCTCTTTGAGTGGAATGAATCTAAAGATAGAGGGATGTTGGAAGAAAGGCAGGGAATAGAAGTTTGTTTGTTTGTTTTCTGTGTGGTGCGTAGTTTCCTTCGTACATCTCTGCATGTTTTTTTCTACATATTGAATTGTTGGAAAAGTCATGACTCGTTTTTGCATAGAAAAACACATCATGACTTTTCTGACAACCTGATACTTTCCAGAAACAGAAGATTCTCGTCTAATATTAAATGTTAGATCAGGAAGATATTTCAAAGTGTAATATGTTCCCACCACCAATTAAATCCAAGTAGTTCTACAGAAATTGTCTATATTAAGATCCCTCGCATATAGCTATATGGCTCAAATCTGATATAAAATAAAATATTTATATTGTTATACAGATTATATTGCCATTGGAAAATCTGAGATATAAAAGATATTTTAAATGAGAGGAAAAGGATGTTATTTTTAAATAATTTTATTTCAATTTTTTATATTTTACAATAGTTCTTCTGAAGCCATTCCAATCTATGACATCATCTAACATAAAAATTCAGTGAGAGATTACAGACAAAAATATAACAAAGCAATATATTTAAAATTTGACATTTAAGTAGTATATATTTAATTTCCTCAAATTGTGTTAGATTTCCTTTGACATTTAGTTTAAGATGAGCAGGGACTGCTTAAACTAAAAGCAAGACTCATTAACTCGTCTTCTAGGTCATCTAGAAAAAAAGAGATACCGGCTCTCTGTACATTAGTATCATCATTAGTAAAACGGAGCTAACAATCTTATCTACCTTTTATGGACATTGTAAAGAGCAATGTGGTCATTTGTGAATGTGTTTAGAACAACGTCTGGAACATAGTAAATGCTGAATAAATATTAACTACTGCAAACCAAAACTATAGTAGAGGATATAAGGCTAACTCAGGATTAAAAAATGCATTTCAAAAAGAAAGTTGTCTGTCACTCAGATGGGGATAGCAAAGGTAACCAGAGAATGATGAAGTTGTTCTCCAACTCGAAGATATATTTAGAGTTCCCTTATTACACATCTTTTCTAAACTGTACTTAAAATATATAAAAGGGAGGTTTACACATTTTAGTTTGTATATATTATATATCACATTTATGTATTCAATATTGTCTTAAAAAAATGGAACAATTCCTGAGCAATTATTTCCAGTTCTGTACACTAATGCTTGGAAGAATGAAGATTCCAGAGACTTCTGATCAGAAAAATTCATCATAAAGAAAATTATTAAATTGCATTTTAAAAGGTGGAGAAAGGTTAAAGGCCAGAATTTCATTTTACTTTTAGATAGTACTTGCCATACTCTCAAATAAACTCTCACTTAGAGCAAGACCAAAAGAATGTTTTTAAATTTAGTCCTCTCTATCCTATTAATATCTAATAGATCATAGCCAAGTGAATGCTTTTGGAATTGAGACAGGTTTCAAGCTTCCATAATTTTTGTTCATGATAGATGTCTAAGTCTTTCAGGAAGAAGTCCTTAGCAAGCCTAGTCCTCACTATGTTATTTTCCTCTGCATTCATATAGCAATTTAAACAAAGCCCCAATCCCACTATTCCTATTCTGCCACATAGTTTTCTCCATTCTTTTGTTATTGTTACAGTTTAGTCTTCTGTATGATTCTGATGCTTATTAAATGTGTCAGACATACAGGAAGAATATTTGAATGAATAATTAGCTATCCTTCAGGAATTTATTTAAATTTTTTTAAAAATAGCTTCAAATTTGGGGCCAGTAGGTAATTTGGTGGTTAAAGCAGTGGATTCCCACATGACCAGCTGCAGTTCAAGTCCTGGACCTGGCAGCCTGAAATCATTCTGGACATGTATGCACTCGTGCCCAAAATCCTAAGAGGAGAATGGAGGAGAAAGGTCATGGTCATCCCCCATCCCTCAGGGGGTGGTGACTTCTCACTTTCCTTCTCTATCTCTCCTGCTAGCATATACACCCTATGAAAACAAAAACAAAAATATCTTCAAATTCTTAAAGTTCTCACATATTTTTTATTTATTTATTACCATGGGCAATTAAATTGCTCTTTCACTTGCTTCCCACCTTGATCCCAGAAGAACAATTCTTCATTTGCTTTTGACTGTAACTTTCAAAGAGAGCACACTATTTCATTTTCCCTTTTTGGTAGCTTAGAGAAGAGATAAGCATCCTTGTTTCAGAAGTCAAAATATAATCATGTCTACTTTCAATATGGAATTAAAATAAGGTATAAATTCTGAAGGAAGTAATGAGGTGGATAAACAACTATTTCTCGGACTCTTATATGTTATTTCTTTTCAAATAGCTCTTTCATTTTTTGTTTTTGTTAACAGTGAAAATGTTCAGAACATTAACCAAGATCCAACAATAAGAAACAGCAATATTAAACATTTAGTCATAAATTTATCATCAGTTTTGGATTTTCCATGCCTCTCTTTAGACAACATGAGGTATCAAAGACCAGAAGACATCCTAGTTTCTCTATGAGACAAGTCCCTCGTTGATCTTTGACAGTCCAGAGTCAGAGTCCTCAACTTATCAGCTGAGGTAATGTGCTATTCATCCAACTCAAACACCAGTGACATTGAGCTTGGCTTCCTGTCACCAGTCCTCCTTATTACTGCCTAACAGCCACCATTCATGATTTTAGTTACAATCATTTACGTATGTGTTCTGCCTCTCTTTTCCTCTTTAGTTATAGGATATACTTCTTGAAGGGAAGACCTGAATTTTTTTTTTCATTTTTGAATTCATGGTGCCTAGTATACAACTTGGCCCATAATAGATCCTGAGTAGCATTTTTAAATTGATTGTACCTTATGATATAAAGAAAAATCTCATTCCCCAGCAATGACACGTTGCACCCAAAATCGCTTGCGCAGGGCAGCCTGAATCTGTCGAGATTTAAGACTGTAGACAAGAGGGTTTAGTAGTGGTGTCATGAGGAGGTAGGCATTACTCATGGTAGTGTATAGAATTGGAGGAGTTTCCTGGGAGTAACGATGCAGTACTGCCAGGCTGATGAGGGGCAGGTAAAACACAAGCACTGTGCAGATGTGGCAGGCACAGGTTTGCAGAGATCTCCAGTTTCTGTCTTGGATTCCCAGTTTCATAATGGTGCCCAAAATCTTCATGTATGAAGCTATAATGAAGACAACATCCACTACAAATGTGCAGAGTACACAGATCAATCCATAGACACTGCTGAAAGTGACATCCCCACAAGCCAGGTTCAGCATATCTGGGTAGTAGCAGTAAGAGTGTGAGAGGATATTGGCCCCACAGAAAGGAAAGGCCCTGAGGAACAGAGGCAGTGGGGCCAATAGAGCAGCACCTCGAAGCAAGGCAGCTCCACTAAGGCAGACTACAGTATAGTGGGTCAGAATCCTCGTATAGTTTAGTGGAGCACAGATAGCTACCAAACGGTCTAAAGCCATGGCCACCAGGATACCTGATTCTACTGAGGACAGGGTGTGGATGAAGAACATCTGGGTCAGGCAGGCATCCAGGCCGATGTGGTGAACATCAAACCAAAAGATAGCCAAGACACTAGGCATCGTAGACAACGAGAGGCCTAGGTCGGTAAGGGCTAGCATGGCCAAAAAGTAGAACTGGGGCTCATGAAGATTCTGCTCTGCTCTAACTAGGATAAGGAGAAGAACATTACCCACAAGGCCCACCAGGTACAGGAGACAAAAGGGGATGGAGAGCCATATATGAGCAGCTTCCAGACCAGGGATACCAATGAAAGAAAAAGTAGGCCAATTAGGAGAACTGTTATTAAAAATCAACATGGTGAGATGTAGGCAGAATGGTTGTCCCGTTGTTTGCAAGCCTACAAAAGAGAAATCATGTGTCAGAGAGGTTGAAAACCAAATGGAAAGTAAAAAGCTGCCAAAGCCTCAGTGGCATGCTGTTAAATTGCTGCTGCTCCAGATCGATGTCCCATGGGAAGACTGAGTTCATTCTCCGCTTAACCTGAAATCCAGCCCTGGTGGCACATTCCTGTAGTCCCAGCTGAGATGCTGAGGCAGAAAGATCAGGAGTTTGAGGCTGGCCTGGGCCACATAGCAAGACCCCATCTAAAAGAACCTCGTTTAGTGTTGCCCATCTATGGCCTCAGCTGCTCCAGAGGCAGTGGGAGGATCACAACACAGTGAGACTCAACATTAAAAAGAAAAATAAAAAAAAACAAAACTGAAGATGAAGAGGACAAAGAAAGATGAAAAGAAATAAAATACAAAGATTTCTCATATATGGAATTACAAAATTAAGACATGAAGAATTCAAAATTGTACTTATACTATTAATTATTAATCTTTTGTTTTTTGAGATTTTGCTATAGGGCACGTGCGCTCGCCAGACAGACAGAGACAGAGAGACAGAAAGACAGAAAGCGAGAAATCACCCCCCAGGGGGGATGGTCACGCCACAATCCCTTCTCCTCCATTCTCCTCTCGGGATCTTGGGCACGCACGCACACGCGCCCGGTGTGAGTTTTAAGCCACCGGGTCTGGGACGCAAACCGCGGTCCACTATGTAGGAGTCCAGCGATATAGCCATTACGCTAACTGCTGGTCCCTTAATTATTCACCTTTTGAAATATGAGTGTCATCTTAACACACGAAAAGATGCTCAAGATCATTATTAGGAAAATGTAAATGAGAATTGCAATCAGACATTATTAGAATGGTTGTAACTAAAAAGCCTTAAAATACCATGTGGTATTGGTACAATATAGAGCACCTGGAACTCTCCTACATCACTGATGGAACATGAAGTTTTATCACCATTTTAGAAAACAAATTTGCAGTATCTTTTCAAATTGAATAAAAATTTATACTGTTAAAATGATCCAGCAATTCCACTCCTAATAATTTGCCCAGGAGAATGAAAACACTTATTCACATAAAGAGTTATATAGAATTATTTATAACAGCTTCACTAATTATAGCAAAAAGCTGGAAGGAAACCAAATATAAATCCATTATTGAATGGATAAATAAATTATTTAAGATTCATATAATTGAAATTAAAAGGAATAAATTACTGATAGATGCAACAACATGAAGAGGTCACTTATACTATGTGAAAGAAGACAAAATACAAACAACTGAATGATGTATGATCTCATTTATATAAAATTACAAAAAAGGCAAGTCATAGACATAGAAAGTTGATCCAGTTTGGAGGAGGGTAGGGATTGTAAAGAGACTATGAGAAATAAAAGCAGTCCATACCATAGTTGATGTAGTAATTATATGACTGTATACATTTTATTTTAAAAGCCCACCAAATTATATTCTTTAAATTGATACATTTTATTTTATGTAATTGTAGCATCTCCATAAAACTGACCAAAAAAAAATGTTTCATCATTTGAGGAATAACTTCTAAATAATACTAAATCTGAAGTTCATCAAAATGTGTTTTTTTGACTATACTTTTTTTCTTTCTACTTACTCATAAAAGGATTGGCACTCCATTCTGCGGCACTGCTTGACTTCATCACCAGAAATTCATTATTTCTGGGATGATGTATTTTGTGAACTCAATTCATTTGGCTCTGAGACAGATGTCTCACATACCACAGTGGATAGAGGTAAAGAGTTCTATGGTCTTCTCAGCATTTTTGATAATAGTTCATTTCCCCGCTCCTCTTCAAATAGCCCTAACTCTCTACATGCATTCTCTTCCTTAGAAATGTAAAGCACCCTTTGGACATAATAATACATTATATATTTCTCTTTAGTTTTACTTCTCTGCTGGTTCTCTTCTCTTGTGATGCAAAGAAAATTTCTGGGTTACTTGAATTGTGTCAAGGCTTCAGTTAACCCCCAAATTCCTATATGCAATTCAAATGACCTTTTCTAAAGATATGTGTTTAACTGACCCATTGACTTCACAACCTGAATGCTCTCCAGGAAATTCAAATATATGCCCTAAGCATGAGGAATAATTTAACCCTTTCAAAACCTTACCATTTTTCTTCAGAAATATTGAGCCAATCATATACCTAGTGTTTGTCAGTTTGTTTTATATTCTCAGAGGGTATGTGCTCTCAACAGAGAGACACGCACACACAGAGACACAGAAGGAAAGAGAGAGAAGGAAAAGCACCTCGCCATGGAACAAGTTCATGGTGCAATCCCTGCTCCTCCGTTTCTCCATCCTGTCAGGTTTTGCGGCACACATACACATGTGCCTGGCCTGTTTTTTTCAGGCTTCCAGGACAATGATTCAAACTGCTGTAAGTTAGGGATCCAACTCCCATAACCACTAGGTCACAGGAATGGCCCAACGCCTATTTATTTTGCTTTGTTGATACTGTAGGAGTGATGAATGCGAGGTCAGAAACTGGACTGCCAGGGTTTTAATCATGGTTTTACCTCCTAGTAGTAGTTTCTCTTTAGTTAGTTATCTCTCTGTATCTACTTCTTTACTTTTAAAATAGAAATACTAGTATCTACTCTTCATAGTGTTCTAATGAGAAAGAACTAAAAATATCCTCATTAGAGTAAATGCTACTTAAGTAGAAGCTATTTTAATACATATTAGCATCATTGTCTAACTAATCACTGATTATTTATTTTTTATTTTTTATGCACTCAATCACATTATTTAGCTTACAAAGTGAACATTTCAATATGTGAACATTTCTCCCCAGTCCAGTTGATCAAAATATCTTCAAAAGATAACACCGCACCTCCCCGTCCCGTCAATGCTCTGCCTCCGTATCCTCCTCCAAATGTCCTTCCCCAGGCCCCACTCCTCACTGATTATTTAAAACAAACTCTGATCATTGTGTGTGTGTGTGTGTGTGTGTGTGTGTGTGAAATCTCTGTCTCCAATATTGTTCATGAATTGGTTATTGATACATTTTTCATACATTCCAGAACTCTGTTCTTATGTTTTATCACTTCATGTCTTCATACTTCGGCTATCTGACTCATCATTCATTTTGTCTTTCTTCTTTTATACCCAGTAAATTTCTTTTTTTTTCTTTTTTTGGAGAGGTTTTTGCTATGGGGCGTGTGCACCCGCCAGACAGACAGAGAGAGACAGAGAGACAGAGAGTGAGAAATCACCCCTCAGGGGGGATGGTCACGCCCCAATCCCTTCTCCTCCATTCTCCTCTCGGGATCTTGGGCACGCACGCACACGCACCCTGCATGAGTTTAAGCCACCGGGTCTGGGACTCGAACCGCGTTCGATTACGTGGGAGTCCAGCGACATAACCATTATGCTAACTGCTGGTCCCAATACCCAGTAAATTTCTATTTAGTACTTAATTAATATTTCAATAAGCTCAGATTTTATCTTTTATGGAGAGTATTCTTTAATTCTTTAAAATAGAGTTAAGCAAACTTTTTTTCCAAGTACTCTTTGGTATCTTTTAATGCTTCTATCATTGCATCCATAAAGTTTTAATTTTTAAATTGTCTTTCTTCCTATCATTAGATCATAAGTATTGTTGTTTCTCTGAGATTTTTTTCTATAATGTCTTAGGTATTTGACTGGTATTTTTTGTGTAAGTCAATGATAGACTTAATTAAGAGTGATTGAAGTGCACTACTAGGTTGCACTAAGTCCCAGTTTTCTTTTCGATAAATTTGTAACAATGGTGCTTCATTTAAGTGCTGCTATGAGGACTAATTTATAAAGCCATAGAGAAAAAGTGCATCATGCACTGCCTGATAGTTAGGTATGCATTTCTGAGCTTTCATAGTTCAATTCAATGCCAATATATGCAATATAAAATAATATCTCATACTGACTTCGCTAAAAAACACACTATTCATTTAAAATATGAAAATATGTAAAGGTATAAAATCTCATCTTGAATAGTCCAATATTTGTTTTTTCTTTAAACATTTTCTTCCTAATCCTATTGATCTTGATATGAAAATACTGTCATGATGTGTGTATTTTAAGCTTTAAAATTAAAAAATAATTTTATATTTAATCACATATATCTTTACAATGTACACCATTTCTTTTTCCAGCACAATTACCATGTACATCAATCAATATGAATAGTCCAAGATTTAATATTAAAGCCATACATACACTTTTATTAAAAAGTATAATATAAAAATAATAGTATATAAAAGAATGAACTTATATATACTTCTATATTTCTACCTAATCTCTTTTGTGTTATTTGTATTTTTGAGAGCATTGTGAAATGTAAGATCATATTTTATTAAGTCAGTTCTCCAGGTGAATAACAGCTTAAATATGTGTTGGATAAAGGGGACAGTGGGAATAAACAGAGGTAACAAGAAAAGCCAGATCGGGAAAAGGGGAATAAAGAGGAATGGAGAGACTGATGAAAGAAGGAAGGGGGAAGAGAAGAAAGAAAGAAGGAAGGAAGAGAGACAGAGGGAGGGATGGAAGAAAATTTTTGGAAAGATTAAGTAGAGAGCACTTGGTGCCTGGTCTGTCCTAGGATGTGTTTACTGGATGCTAGTACTTGAATTTCTGTGAGCACACAAACTCAGTAATTAATAGGTACAGGAATCTTATGTATACAATAATATAACATTTAAAGTATGTGAATGTCGAGGGCATTATACCTGTGTGCATCTGTGTGTGTATTGTTGCCACTCAAAATCCAACCAGAAGATGTTCTCAGACTAAAATTTTTAACAGCATCAGTTTGATTTACTAAAGACTCTACCTTATACTTCAGTTCAAGTCAAGCCCATAGGCATGATGACAGCAAGGTCAGGAACTGGACTGCCAGAGTTTGAATCATGGCTCTACCTCTCGTTAGTGCTTTGTCTTTGCTTAATTTATTCCTTATTTTCAAATGGAAATACTAGTATAAAATGAGAATGCCCTGGTAGGAATAGGTAAAAAGCATATACCAGATTTTGTTATAAGGATAGCCTGCAATTACACATAAATACATTTATACACACACACACACACACACACACATATATAATACTCAGTCATATATGCACATCTGGTATGCATGCATCTTAATGATGAACGAGAAGCTTCTTGCTTTATCATACCTTTAGTTTCAAGCATTGAATTGATTGTAACCTCACTGATTCCAAGTTAATAGTCCAGATTCCTCATCTTTCTTTTCTTGCCAAGGGAAAGACCTAGCTCTAAACTCATTTTTATGCTAACTGCTGAGAGGAAAGTACTATTATTTCTGCTCTCCTTTTAGTTTTTGTTTTACTCTGTTCTATTGTTACAATGCTATACAAATATTACACAATGTTATTTTATACCACTTTGTATCAATTATGTAAGTTGTAATGAGAATTTGTGTAATTAGCAACTCAAGCATGAGTAAGTAAAAGCAGCATTACAGAAGCATACCTAATTATAATATTATGGTTTAAATGCTGGTGTTTTCATTTCACCTGTATATGGTATAGTCACTTACCTTTCTGAAAACTGGCATTCATCGTCAAAACATAACTAATCAGGGGATGGATCATGGCTCAGTGATAAAACATGTTGCTCTAAGAGGTTGACAACATGCAGAGGTACCAGGCTTGTATCTGGAGACCTCCCTAAGTGCATTGGACATGTGTGTGCCCATTATGTGGGGCTGGGAGAGGCTAGAGATACATTACAGCCTCAACAACTGTTTGAGGTCCTAGATCTTTGTGTCTGTCTCTCCCACTTAAGGAAGAAATAAATAAAAAACAAATAAAATGCATTAAAAATAATATATCAGTAACCATAGCTCTCTTAATGAACATTTAGAAAGATTAAACACAAAACAGAATTAAAAACTTACAATGATGTCAGAATTTAAAAACAAAACATACAGAAGTTACTTTATTAAGATCTGATTCAGAGGTATATATCAAATAATTTATATCTGTGTCTAGAGTTCACTCTATATATTTTAACTTCAGAACACATGGGAAAACTTTACTGATAAGCTGAAATATAAGAATTCTGAAAAAAAAAAACATCAATTGGGGAAAGTTTCCTATATAAAGGAATAACACCTTCAAAATTAGTGACTTCAGAAATAACTTGCATTTAAAAATATAATCATCTAGCATTATTAATTCACGGTTAAAGTTAGGTGTCAACAAATCTTAAAGTACTAAGAGAAAAATTCTCCACCCAGCTCATTGCTATATTTCTCATCTACAAAGTATCATTTGTTTTTTTTCATCTACAAAGTATCATTTGGTTTTGAATGGTCATGTTTCCAAAAGACAAATCTTGGAATCTGTAAAAATGATGACAACTCTCACTAGTAGACATGTGCTTAATATCTATATTGGGAAAAATTCATTTGCTTAATATATATGTATGTGGAAAGAACTCTCCAAACTGTGCAAAAACGTGGTATCTTTCATGGCTCAACACTTAAAAACTGAACACCTAGATTTAGTTAAATATAACTCATGTTTGCAAATTATATTCATGAGATACTGCTTTCTGAACTCAGTGAAAGTTATCCAGACAAAAAACAGTCCACGATTTTTTTTTAAATTTAATACTTAGCTATATAAACATAATATGCACATTTAGAATTCACAAGTACTATTTAAATTATTGGTAAATACAGTAGTTACTACTTAGAATAAATTATAGACATTAACTCATCACTTAAAATATTCCTACTTATCAAATACAGGATTTTCCAAACAATTTAATCTCCAAATCTCATTCATTCATCCTAACTTAACAGCACTAGTCATTTGTGGGTTATTTTACTTGATTATTGAAGCAGCTGTTCTCAGGGTTATAGCAGTACTTATTCTTGACAAATACCACTCACTGCACAATGGGTGGCCTTTTCACTTTCAGATATATCTGTTGACAGGACTGTCCTTTCCTGTAAGGCAGAGAACTCATCAGCTCCATGCAGAGAAGTAGAACTTATTTCAAGGGCTTGGTAGTTTCATGGTGCTGTGCAGACCAACAAAATTGGGCCTCCCAGATGTTTGAAAACTCTACAGAGATTTTAAAACCCTTGGGGGTTCCAATTATAATAACTAAGGAGGTTAAATTTGTTTAACCCAAGGGATAAGAGAAGGAGGGAGCATCTCTTAGATATATTTTGTGTTTTTGTTGTTGTTCTTAGATTTTTGGCACAGGACATGTAGGCATGCAGGAAAGAGAGACAGAAAGTGGGAAAGCAAGAAATCACCTTACATTTTGGTATTCTTTTTAAGAATCATTTTATTTAACTTTATTTATTTATTTATTTAAATTTGACCAGAGAAGGATGGGGTGGGGGGAGTGAGAGAGCAAGCCTCTAGGTCCAGGACTCGAACCGTGGTCGACCACGTGGGAGTCCAACGCCCTTAACCACCACGTCACCTGTCAGCCTCTCACTTTACATTTTGAATAAAAGTTGTTTTGCCAGACAAACTTTTCATCATATCTGTACACTATGGGGTGCATGGTCTTTCTGGAGAGACAGAGAGACACAGAAAAAAAGAAAATGAGAAATCATCCCCAGGTTAGGATGGCCATGCCACAATCTCTTCTCTATTCTTCTCTCAGACTTTGGGACACACATGCACATGCTCTCAGTGTGGGTTTTAAGCTGCTGGGTCTGGGACTCGAGCCATGGTCAACTATGTGGGAATCCAGTGACGTAACAATTATAACATCTCCTGGTCCCTCAAGTTCAAATTTTATTTTATTTATATATTTATTTATTTATTAGAGAGAGATTTTTTGTTGTAGACACATGTACTTGCCAGAGAGACAGAGAGCAACAGAGAGACAGAAAGCAAGAAATCATCACCTAGGTGTGATGGTCACACTGCAGCACCTTCTCCTCCATCCTCCTCTCAAGATTTTTCAGCATGCATACACGCCCAGAGTGATTTTTTTTTTTTTGAGAGGTTTTTGCTATAAGGCGTGTGCGCTCTCCAGAAAGACAGAGAGAGACAGAAAGCAAGAAATCACCCCCTGGGGGGGATGGCCACGCTTCAATCCCTTCTCCTCCATTCTCCTCTCGGGATATTGGGCACACACATGCGCACACATGCCTGGCATGGGTTTAAGCCACCAGGTCCGTTATTAGAACCACAGTCAACTATGTGGGAGTCCAATGGCATAACCATTAAGCCAACTGCTGATTCCAAAAGTGATTTTTAAGCCACTTGGTCTGGGACTCAAGCCACAGTCTGGAGTTGAGTGATATACCATTATGACACCTGCTGGTCCCTCACTTCCAATTTTAAATTTTCCTTATATGTCTGTACATTATAGAATGTATTCTTGACTACAGTCCCTAGTAATAGTCTTTATTTGCTTATTAACTGAAACTTGATGCTCTAGTGGTAGAAGGCAGGGTGGGCAGTTGGCATAATATCTGTCCTGGTTTATCTTCAGTTTTAGACAGGCACCAGACCCTTAAGTCTTAGTGACTAGGCCATCTTATTATTGGTCTACAAAACCATTAGTGATTTGAGTCCAGAATTTTTTTTCTTTTTTTTTTGGAGAGGTTTTTGCTATAGGGTGCGTGTGCTTGCCAGACAGAGAGGCAGAGAGACAGCAAGCAAGAAATCACCCCCCGGGGGAATGGCCACGCTGCAATCCCTTCTCCTCCGTTTTCCCCTCGGGATTTTGGGCATGCACGCACACGCGCCTGGCCTGTTTTAAGTCACCTGGCCCAGGACGCAAACCGCGTTCGACTACATGGGAGTCCAGCGACATAACCATTAAGCTAACTGCTGTTTCCTAGTCCAGGATATTTTTATATTACTTCTCAAAGCTTAGAAGACAGTACACACACACACACACACACACACACACACACACACACACACACACACACAGTTCCTGTGTGGATGTTGGAGAACCAGGAAAACTGGTGGTATAATTCACTCTAAACTAGGAAAGCCTAAGAATTAAGGTCCAATAATGTAAGTCCGGGTCTAAGTCTGAAGCTGGAAAATCAGGAGTACCCATGTTAGAGACCAGGAGAAGATGGATATCATTGCTCAACCAGAATCATAAAGTTCATGCTTATACCTTGTGCTCTATTAAAGCCTTCAATGGATTGAATGATGTTCATCCACATTGGGATGGGCAGTCTGCTTTACAGAGTTTACCGATTCAAATGCTAATCTCTTCTGGCATAATGTTTTATTAGCTATCTGGTTATCCCTTAACCCACTAAAGGTGACACAAATAATTAACCGTCACCAAGGAGAATGTGCTATGGATCCTGAGTGACTCCTGAATCTCAGATTGCCTGCATATTAAGTATCTGCCATGGGATCAATAACTTAATCCATCTAAATTTCCATTTCTTCTAGGATAACAATGTGTGGAGGAAAGAATGCAATTTCTCATGTGAAAAAATAAACAATGAAGGACACATGAAAATGTCTTTTATATTCCCAAGCTTGCTTTCTCATAAGACAGCTCTGCAGCTAGAGTCACAATATTCTTAGTTGAAGTCACTGAATTTTGACTACTCCTGGGAATGTCAATGAATTTGTAGGTGTAGCCAGCCTGAAAGATCATGCTTTTATTTTTATTTATAATTATGTAACATAAAGGTCTCTTGTTATATAGATTATGTGTATATACTTATATAAAGTGAGTATCATGTGCATGTGAATAGGATGGAACATAATGGGAAAACAGTTATCGTTTATCATTTCAGAATTCTCAGGTCATTTCTACAAACATTTAATAGTGTTTCATATCTAAAACATATAATATGAATTAAATCATAGGAAAGTCTAAGAAACATCTACAATATAATAGACTTTTTAATTTTTTCAGAATACATTATATAAAACATGGATAACCTTAATATATGAATAATATATTTTAAAAAAATTAACATTAAAGTGAATTGATAGGACATGCCAACAATTAATGAGTGATTTTTATATCCCCTGAGGTAAAGAAGTACCCAGTAGTTGGGGCAGTTATGGAGCAGTCCCAGAAAACAATGAAAAGTGGACTTCAGATCAAGAAGGAAAAGAGATTTCCTAGGAGATTTCTGTTCTCAAGAGAGATAGGCATGATTAGTAAAAAAGCTCAAGTCATCTCACAGGCATTTTTGATTCTGGACGTGAAAGAGAAAGCTTTCCTTGTAGGACATTAGCACATATTCTGTCTTGAGATGCAAGGTGAGAGAGAAAACCCAGATCTATATTTAGAATAGGACTAAAATGAAAGGCACTTCAGAAAAATTGGGGAGCATAGAAATTTGGTACGCAGTGCAGGGGTCTAGAGGATGTTTCCTTCTATGAAACTATCCCTAATTTGTTACCATCAAGAACCTGAGGTTTTTGGACTGATGATATTGAACCAAATAAAAGGAAGTGAGTTTAACATAGTCCTAAACTGGGGAAATACAGACATATATTTCCTATGGAAACACTGACCAAGCAGTTTAGACTTATCACTGAACATGAATTCCCTTTGAGACCAAAGAGCACAGATTCTGAAAATGCTTAGA